GATCTAGAGCCTGTATTCTTGTCCTCTGGAATCCCAGATCCTCTTATGTTCCTCCATAAATAGCTCCAAAAAATCCTGTGGCTCCAAAGAATATAATTTGATAAATATGTCCTGGGCCTTGAGGGCCCACCCAGTTATAACATTCTAAGACTCAGTGAGTGGTCAAGAAAGGCACTGGGGTAGCCACTTGCTTCTCTTGCATTCAGCCTTTGCAGCTACTGGACTGGCCGCTGGTTTTGTGAGTTTGCGCATGCCTGTGTAACCTCACGCATCACTGAATCGGGGATACAGGATGTGGCATGGCTGGGAGCTTCTTGGAAGGGCTTCCACATCCTGTGAACGTTGGGTCTCTACCTGCCAACTGCTGAGATGAACCAGTAATCCTTTCAGAGAGCACAGGCTTTTATCAATGAGGAGGATTCAAGGCTTATTTTTTCCTTCCTTCCAAATAACACTCCCACTGTTGAGGCTTAAATACCAAAACCTTATGGTTTGCAGAATCAGTGCCAAAAAGTCAATCCTCCGAGAAACTGCAAAGATAATAGCTCCTATTGATCAAATCGGGAGGAGAATAGCTTTTGTGGTTTGCCCTCCTAAAAGAGGTCGAGAAAGATAAGGGCTGGAGTTTTCTAAAACATGCTTGGTTTGCTCAAATTGGATAAAACCATATAAAAACACTTATGTTCTTAGAGAACTGGTGACCAATTCAGGAAAACCTCATGAAATGAAAAGATTGGCTTGGATTAGTGAGGCATGTGAAATGCAGTGTCTTTCTAAGAGCATGGTAAATGTGTTGTTTCAAATACAGACAGTGACTTATTAGTTAACCAAGTACACCACGCAGAGGATGGCCACTATCTGCCTTACTAGACAAAGGAGAGGTATGAAAGCCCTGGAGTCTCTATGCTGGACACTGTACCGGAGCCTTTTGGTCCTTTATTTAATCATTACCTCAGTCCTTTGAGATGGCTTTTATTGCTCCCATTTTATGGATGGGAAAATAGAAGTTAAATGATGTTCAGTAACTTTCTCATGATCACAAAATTAATAAGTGTCAGACAGTAGTATTAAGATCTAGGTGTATATTTCCATTAAATATTCTACTGTCTTCTAAATGGCACATACACATTTGCTATTACCATGATGCTTTTGGTGAAGAGAGGCTGCCAGGCTGGTGGTAAATATACTTGGAAATGTCTCATGCTTTTGCCAATGGTGAGGCGAATAGGAATCCATCAGTGAGGTTCCTACAGGGCCAAAACTTGCAGCCATGTCTCTCTGAAGCCACTGGTGGCCATGGAATTGATGGAGTTCAAGCTGACATGTGCTTGATTTTTCTCAAACTTCAGTTTTCCTTTCAGTGAAGAAAAAAAGCTTATTAAACATCACTTTGTGAGGGGAGATTGTTAATATTCAACTTTCTATATAAAATAATCAGCCTTTATTTTTAAAAAATATGGCCTTGGAAGATAATATTTTTCAGGGAAGTTATTCGTATTTTAAACTATTTTATCTGTTTTTATTATCATTTTATCTGAGAAGCTGAACACGTGGTTATCTAAAGGAATGGATCTTGAGGCAGCAAACAAAATTCCCCAGAATCAGCACAATCACTTAATGATCTTGTGAACTGAAATTATCTTTGCTACAGCCCAAGAACTGAGTGGTAATTAGTGTCCAGGGACACGTGGGGAACAATTTCACTGTTAGCGGTGCCAAGAATCTATTCATTTGTCATCGGTCCCAAATTATATTCAATCAGCAATTCAACTCAGCTTGGAAAAACCAAGTGACATATAGCTAACTGTCTATAAAATTAACACTGTAAAATGAAACCTAGATTTCTGGCAGTTTCACCATGAGCAGCAGTAAGATGAAGCTATGAAAATATTGCATGTAAATGCTGTCAAGGTTCCTCTTAATCCCACCACTTTCCAACCTATGTTTCCTTCCCTGAAATGCCGCCTTGGCTGCCAACCTTCTATTCCCAAGCTCCCTGAAGTCTGGGTGTTGGAGTGTTTGATGAGCCTTTTCATAGGTGAACCACAGCAGTCCATAATACTGCAAACAAGAGCTGTCATTATTGAAAGAGCCAAAGTGGGTGGCAGCAGCATGGGGCTCAGAGTGGAGCTGGGGTTGGAGTCATATGTGGAAGGCCCTGAAATGTAGATAATTAGCTCTTCCTGGGGAAATCACCTGCACGAAATACCCATTCCCCAAACAAGGGATTGATAACAGAAGCACTGCTTTCCATTGTGGCTTTGTATTAAGCATTTCTCCTACTTGGGTAAAAATTTCTTTTTGTTTTCATATTTTGGAATTAAGATCCCTGCCATACTGCCTATCTGACTTCTGGTCTCCTTAAAAGAGTCTATGCTATTTTTGGCTCAGGACGTTGGCGGAAACCAGGGCCATTGTAGGTGGGAAGGGTATGTGTAGTTCGTCTACTTCTTTCCCACGTGCTTCTAGGACTGGGAAAGAGGTAAGCCAAGGAGGTCTGCACAAACCAAACAATCCTTTTGTCTCTGCTGTGGCAGGGAGATAAACTAGAAGTACACCTTTGCAAGGTCTCAGTGGGTCAACATCCTGTTCTTGTTCAAGCTTAGTGACGATGACATGTGGCCATTTGGCAGACAGTCATCATCAGTAAATATGGAAATACAAAAAATGTACTTATCTCTGTGAAAAGGTGAGGCCAGAGGTAAGGTGAAAAAAAAAAGCCAGGTTTCACAGGCTTGACTACTTGTCAGCATGGGCTGCCAGAAGGTGTGGAGTGCTAGAGTCAAAGAGACCTGGGTTTGAATTGCAATTCTTCCACTTAATAAAGTTCATCCTGCATTCTGTCTCAGATCCATTTTTAGTGGCTACCTAGAGCACTGTGCTTAAAGCACTCTATGACAGATCCCAGGCTTTACAGGCGAACAGAGCCATGATTGATTAAAGATGCCTACACTGGATTGAAGCAGGAGGGATTGACAACTTGTATGCCTTATATCTAATGACCCTGGGTCCTCCAAGGTCCTGTCCAGTCCTAATATTCTCTAATAATGTTCTGAGTGTGTGTGTGTGTGTGCGTGTGTGTGTGAGTAGACATAGCCTAAGGGAAAGTTAGTATAACCCCATTACAATATATTAATAGCATAGCTTAAATTTAAAAAAAAAAAAAAAAAAGAACAACAAACATTATTTGTATATTACAGTCTATTAAGAGTTTTAACAGCTGGTAAGTACTTCTAACAGTCCGTAAGTACTTCATAGTGTATTATGTCCTTTAGATTATTGATTTGTGTGTTTGCTTTAATTCATGATGGCTTTGAAAATTATCTTTTAAGTTATTTACCGCAAATGATTCTCTATATTCAAATACTTAGCTATCATTTGTCTTGACCTAAAGTTCCAATGTAGAGAAATGAATTTCTCTGTTCACAGAAATGCTACCAATTTCAAACACGACCCGTGAAGTTAGTTACAGGAGCAATGTTGTTCTTCCATAAGAAGGCTATTAAATTTATTAGTCTAAGACTGGTCTTTCAACAAGAAAAGGAGTTTATGTTTGATTATGTGTGGTCATTTCTGCAGATTTGTTTTCTTGTTAATGCAGTATTTTAGGGGCAAGGTGTATTTTGCCCTTGTTCTTTTTTTTTTTTTTGCAAGTTTCATTTCTATTTTAGATTCAGAGGGTGCATGTGCAGGCTTGTTACAAGATTATATTGCATGATCTTGAGGTTTGGGCTTCCACTGATCCCGTCACCCAGATAGTGAACATACTACCCAATAGGTAGTTTTCCAACCCTTGCTCCACTCCCTCTATCCTTTTGTAATTCCAGTGCCTATTGTTCCTATCTTTATATCCATGGTACCCAAGATTTTGCTCCCACTTATAAGTGAGAACACATGATATTTGGTTTTATGCTTCTGTGTTAATTAGCTTAGGCTAATGGCCTCCATCTGCATCCATGCTGCTACAAAGGACATGATTTCATTATTTTTATGGCTACATAGTATTCCATGGTATATATGTACCACATTCTCTTTATCCAGTCCCCTGTTGATGGGCACCTAGGTTGATTCCATGTCTTTGGTATTATGAATAGTGCTGTGATGAACAGACGAGTGCAGGTATCTTTTTGGTAGAATAATTTATTTTCCTTTGGGTATATACCTTGTAATGTAATTGCTGGGTTGAATGTTAGTTCTATTTTTAGCTCATTGAGAAATCTCCAAACTGCTTTCCACAGTGGCGGAACTAATTTACATTCCCTCAACAGTGTATTAGCATTCCGTTTTCTCTGCATCCTTGCCAGCATCTGTTATTTTTGGACTTTTGTTTTGTTTTGTTTTGTTTTTTGAGATGGAGTCTTGCTCTGTCAGCCAGGCTGGATTGCAGTGGCACCTTCTCAGCTCACTGCAACCTCCACCTCCCAGGTTCAAGCAATTCTCCTGCCTCAGCCTCCCAAGTAGCTGGGATGACAGGCAAATGCCACCATGCAGGGCTAATTTTTGTACTTTTAGTAGAGACGGGGTTTCGCCATGTTGGTCAGGCTGGTCTCGAACTCCTGACCTTGTGATCCACCTGCCTCAGCCTCTCAAAGTGCTGGGTTTACAGGCATGAACCACTGTGCCCGGCCTGACTTTTTAAAAGTAGCCATTCTGACTGGTATGAGATGGCATCTCATTGTGGTTTTGATTTACATTTCTCTGATGGTAAGTGATGTTGAGAGGGTTAATGTAATATTTTACATTTTAATTTTCAAGCCAATGTTTTGAAGTAAAAATCTTCAAATCTGGTCCATAGATTGTTCATTTGGATGGCATCTAAAATGCAGGCACCTCTACTGGCAGCTAGAACCTCCATTCCAGTCTAATAAGCTATGGGATTGCCGTGGTCTCTCTCCAAAGGCAGGTCCTTTGGAAATCTCCTGTAATGCTTCGAACAGCCCATAAGTTACTATATTTAATATTGCCCTTGTCTTTCTCCCTTCCCTTCTTTTTCTTTTCAGAAACAGAGCTGTCAGTCAGTGCTGAATTAGTGCCTACCTCATCATGGAACATTTCAAGTGAACTCAACAAAGGTACACGGTGGGGGCACACAGGGGAGGTGAGGAAAGAGGTGGGAAACTCTGTTTTTAATTGTGACATGACCTTCTTTGAAATCAACTGTTTTTCAGATCACTGCAAGGAGGTGGGGGCCAAAATAAATCCCCAGCTTACTTTGTGATCACTTAACATTGAATTACTTGGGATTCTATTATTTCTGGAGAGTTTCTTTCCCCCCTCGTTCCTTTCTCTTCTTCCTCTAAAGTGTTCCACATGGTAAAAATGCTTCAAGATGTGAAATAGGGTCGTTTCTGACCTTTCTGACACTACCTCTAGTGGATCTTATTTAGACGATTTGATTCAGCCCAAGCCAGGTTTGATCAGAGCTGTTTGCTCGGTGACCTTTCATGATGAGCATTTGATGTGCTTGCAGGGTTCAGGACCGAGTATCTGGAATGTTTGTAATTGCCTGTGCATAAGGACGGCAGCTTCCTTTGTGCACGTGGGGAACAGGTTTCTGCTAGGAGATTGTTGTTTAGCATTAATTAAGCCCCACCATATGTTAAGCACTGGGTATTTTATAAAGACCCTATATCCTGGAGTGATATATCAGGACACATTCAAAACCCCTGCAGTCTGGCTCAATCTGCCTTTCTAGCCTTAGTTATCTTTATTCCCCTTTATGCATTTCCAGCCAAGTTTCGATTTCTTATATGTCCTGTGCTTTTCTGCCTCTCTGCTTTCATCTTTTCACCTGGATTGCCTTTCCTTCTTTGCCAATACCCATTCTCCCGCTTTTGCAACGCAACAAATTACTTCTCCTTCAAGACCAAGCATAAAATTTACATTATCCGGTCTTGTCTAATCCCCTCCAGCTGGAAGTGGCCTTTCCCTCTTTGAAACTCCCGTAACTCCCTTCTCTGTTCTTCTTTTCACATTTTCTACATGATATTATGATGATTTCTATACCTATCTCACCTCCCCACCCCCCCACTTTTTTATTTTTGAGACGGAGTATGGCTCTTTCGCCCAGGCCGGACTGCAGTGGCGCTGTCTCTGCTCACTGCAAGCTCCGCCTCCCAGGTTCACGCCATTCTCCTGCCTCAGCCTCCCGAGTAGCTGGGACTACAGGTGCCTGCCACCGCACCTGGCTAATTTTTTATATTTTTAGTAGAGATGGGGTTTCACCATCTTAGCCAGGATGGTCTCGATCTCCTAACCTCGTGATCCGCCCGCCTTGGCCTCCTAAAGTGCTGGAATTTCAGGCGTGAGCCACCGTGCCCAGCCACCTCACCTCTCTCACCCTTAAGCTTAGAAGTTCCTTGTAGGTAGGGTTTTTTTTTTTGGTCTCCATCACAAAATCTAGTACAAACTCTTATTTGTAGGAAATTCTCAATAAATGTGTATGGAATGATGAGTCACATCTTACCTGGTGAGAAGCCATAGCCATACATATGTGTGCACATACATTCAGCAAACTTACTGAGTTTCTACTTTAGTTCAGGTATGATTCAAAGTTCTGAGATTACAGTAGTAAAAGGAGCTCAAAAATCATTGTCATAAATGGTCTTTTATGATCAGCTCTCTATTGCCTACTGATATGGTTTGGTTGTGTCCCCACCCAAATCTCATCTTGAATTGTATTTCCCATAATCCCCAGGTGTTGCGAGAGGGATCAGGCGGAGATAATTGAATTATGAGGGTGGTTTCCCCTATTCTGTTCTCGTAATAATGAGTTAGTTCTCATGAGATCTGATGGTTTTATAAGGAGCTTCCTCCTTCGCTGGGCACTCATTCTCTCCCCTGCCGCCCTGTGAGAGGTACCTTCTGCCATGATTGTAAGTTTCCTGAGGCCTCCCCAGCCAATCAGAACTGTGAGTCAATTAAACCTCTTTCCTTTATAAATTACCCAGTCTTGGACAGTTCTTTATAGCAGCATGAGAACAAACTAATACACCCACTAATACATTCACTGTAAGTTGTATTTCCTCTCTGAGAAGAGATAAGTTTATTTTATAAAACAGCAATGGGTGAAGTTATTTTGCTGGTTATACTTTACTAGGCACTTTAGGATGGTGGAATGAAGTGAGATGTCTTTTCACCTTAAATCAAAGGACATTTAGAATATTTTTTTTCTATTGTGAAATTTGACCTGACATTATTTTTCTATTAAGTATTAAATCAGGCACTACATGTTATTCCTCTTCACCTCCAGCACCAACCATAATGCCTAGAAAGCAGAAGATTTTCAACAAATATTTATAGAATATGTTTAATGGAAAAGAAGAAATAAAAGACCCTGAACATTAACTTGGTACCTGCTCTGTGCCAGGCACTGTGCTGGGTGCTTTCATGTGAACTTATTCTGCAAGTTCCTTATGGTGCCAACAGAAAAATTGTATCATTGTACACTGCCTGTTAGTGATCAGATGGCAATAGAAAAGCATCAGTGTGTGCTAAGAAAGGCAGCAGAGTCAGCAGTCTAGAACCCAGCCTGCCAGACTTGGAATTTCTACCAGACCAGCACTGTAATTAGTAGTAGTTGCCCATCAAGAAAAAAGTGTGTCGATAGTATGAACCTGCTGGCTGAAGGGAAGGATAAAGGCAGGCCCCAAACTCCTTTGTTTGTTCAACACAGTCTTCCAGAGAGTGTGGATGGCTTTCTGGAGGTGTGGGGATGCTTGGCATCATCTTTCTCTAGAAGGTAATTAGTGTATATTCTTTAATTTCCATTTTGAATGAGAGAGGAAGATCATTTGTTAATCAAAACCTTATTGATTCCTCTGCTCTGGTCTAGGAACTCTATGAAAATTAGGATATAAAGACAAACTAGACAAAGGCCCCTGTCCTCCATGAACTCAGAGACTATTTGGAAAGACTGATCGCTAAATGCGTAATCAAAGCCTTCTGGTCAATTTGATAGATTGAGCTTTCAAGAGACACTTCTTCCAATCACAGAGATACTAGTGAAATACACAATGAAGAAAATTATCCATTGCCAGGCTGGTGCACAAAGAGGTGAAATCCCTAGGCTCCAGAAATGAAGAACAAGTTCAATACTAGAGCAATGATCTGTGAGGAGGAATTAAGCAAAAGAGTCCATGATAATTTGGAAACTATGTGTATTCCCTGGGGCCTGGAGTTTCGGTATCCCATGGGGATAAGAATTGGAGCCACAGGAAACAAACTTCCTGCATTAGGATATGAATGAAGAATGACTGGCCTAAGTATGAAATAAGGAAAATTCTGCTGAGGATGTGATTACAGAAATCTATCAAGTACCTTGGGCCATTGGGATCACCCATGAGAAATCAAAACCTCAGCCTGTACTACATGAGGGAATGGGGTTGGGGTTCTACTCAGGTATTGCACAAGCCACAAACCAAGAAGGTAACATAAAAACTTGGCCTGGAATTGATTATACTAGGAGACACTGACAGCAGCAAACCTAAAACCAGCTCTTAAAAATGTCTCAACATCCTCATGCATGAGGGTTTTCCATCAAAGACAAAACTTTAAAAATGAAAACCACAAAAAAACAATGGCAAACTCCTGCTGATGTTGAGCTTACTTTAAAAAATTATAATGCCTATAAGAGAGGGGAAGAAAGCCACCATTAGTAAGGGTCAGCAGACAAAACACATGGAAAAGTTCATACCTTAGAAACTAAAAACAGTGGACCAATTTCAGAGAGTATATATGTTTAAAACGTTCCATGGTGAAAAAGTAGAAACCCTGGGGCAAGTGCAAGATAATATGACAAAAAAGGCATATTTCAAAAGAACTAAATTAAAATTATATGATTGAAGAATAGAGCTATGGAAATTAGAAGTTTATCAAACGGGCTTAAAGTGATACACTCAGGTCAAGAATAATAGTGGTCTGGGAGATAGGTTTGAGATAATATGGTGGTTTAGAAAATGGACTTGAGCCAGGGTGACTGACTAGGTTTGAATCTTGACTCCACTGTGTGTTTCCTGTGTGACTTTTGGCAAACCTCTCAACCTGTCTGTGCTTTGGTCTTCTCATTTGTAAGATGAGGTAAGAAAAGCACCTACTGCATAGAGCTGTTGTGAAAATTCACCTGGCCAGCAAATCTGATAAATTCATTGGAGAGTAAGAAGTGATAGCTGTTCTGGGTTAATATGGTTATTACTTTGAGCTTGATATTAAAATATCATGGGTACTTCGACAGTCTGGTAAGGCAGGCATATTTTAGGGTTGGGGTAGATACCTTAGATTCTGATAAATTATCCCATTCTGGCCTTCCACACTTGAGTGTTCATTCATACAAGTGACATACTTCTTAGCCTGGCAACACAAGATTCTCCATGGTCTTACCCCTACTGATTCTTCTTACCTTACCTCCAGTCCCTATACTCAATATTCAATTTATTTCAATAACCTGCGTCCAATTCCTTAAACATACCATTCTTTTTCCAGCCTCTATACCTTTGTTCATGCAGCTTCCTCTGACTGGGTTTGTTCTTCACTTGGCTAACTCCTCTTTTACTTAAGCACACCTTTAACATTCCCTCCCTCCCCATTTCTCCACAGTATCCCTAATGGACATACTTCTGGATAACACAGGCAGTATTCCTTCCTTGGTGGACCTCCTGGAGGAAGAGACAGATGATTAACAAATCCTTCCATCAACCCCTTTAACCATGCCATCAACAGTGCTCCAAATTATGGGGTACCATATTAGCCTATGTCTATCTTGATCAGAATCCTTACCTTGCTGTATTGAAATTATCTATTTCATGCTGCCTCTTTAAAGTCAAGGTTTGCCTTATCTATTGCATAACACCATGCAGTAGGTAACATGTAGTAGGAAACATGGCATTAAATTATTTGGGTTCAAATCCCAGTTATGGTGCGTAAATGCCTACCAGGTGTGAGGCACTTGTTAAGCAGGTTGCACGCATCATTTGAATTCACACCACCCTTTGCAATAGAACAGATAGGCAATTGAGGCTCATTTGGGCTAAAGGGTTTGATGGAGGGGAAGTGCCAGGATTCCCACCAAGACCTC